ATTAGTCCAATGGGCCGGACCATATTCAACGGCCCGTGACAACTCGCCCACTAATAAGTCAAATGGAATTAAAAACGAAGACAGAAAATACAGTGGGCGCTCGCTCATCGTCATTAATACTTAAAAATGGGACCAAATCGTTTAATAACAAAACTGTGGGTAAACTTTGAGAAGAAGAAGAATCTTGGGGTGGTAAAGAAGAATACAAGAATTCAATTCATTAACACGGTCTTCTTCTTCTCCACCACCAAGTCTTTTTTCTCAGGAAAAATTTCCGGATGGATTCTCGGAGTTTTCTCGCATTTTCCCTCTGTCTTATCTTCATTTTCCCTCGATTCATTTCATCTGTTCCTATCCGTTTCCTCGATCGATCGACTAAAAGGTTTAAGCTCTCTCCCTCTCCCTCGATTGATGGAGTTAGATTCGAATTTGTTGACTGAGATTTCTTTGTTATTGGCAGTGATGGGTCTGTGATTAAGATGAAAAGAAGTGCTTCTTCTCTTGTCTTTGATCCAACTCATGTCACTCAGCTCTCTTGGACTCCTAGGTTTGTGATTTTGCGTTTCAGATATAAATAAACTCTGGATTTTTTTGATTTTGGTTTTTGTTTGTGTAATCTTTTGATCTAAGTATTGTGATTTCTTCAGGGTCTTTTTGTACAAGGGATTTCTCTCAGATGAAGAATGTGATCATTTTGTCAAGTTGGTTAGAATCCAACCATCTCCTTAAGTTTTTTTTGTTAGTGATGATCAAGGAATGTTCTGGGGCTGTGTATTAGCTTTGTGTGACTGAATCTAGAAACTTTGTTTTAGGCGAAAGGAAAGCTTGAGAAGTCAATGGTGGCAGATAATGAATCAGGTGAGAGTGTAGAAAGTGAAGTACGCACAAGTTCTGGAATGTTTCTGTCCAAAAGACAGGTCAGATTCGATTCTGTTGATCTATATTGTTCATCTTGGAATAATTCAGAACATAAAGCTTTTGTATCATCTTTTAAAAGCTGTGGTATATATCTGGATTGATTTGTATCTTCGGTTTCGTGCAATCAGCTGAGCTTATGATGTATTTTTTTACAAAATGATTGCCATTATACTGAGGTCTAACGTTGCTTTTGTATGCAATTGACTAGCTTAGTTACTAGTTCTCTGTTACTAAATTCCAAGTAACCATTCATTCCATGTAACACGTAGGATTTTACTTCTGCGATTAGACAAAGTAGTAGCTTGAGTGCATATCTTGATATTCTAGGTGTTTTGTGTGATACACTGATTGTTAAGGTTTTATGTATGTGCAGGATGAGATAGTAGCTAATGTTGAGGACAGACTTTCTGCGTGGACCTTTCTTCCCGAGGGTATTTCTGAAGCATACGTATAACTTTCTCATTTGATTCCTTTACCCGACAGCTACTCATCACTTGTTTTTATTTGTTGTCGATCAGAAAATGGGGAATCCATGCAAATACTGCACTATGAGAATGGTCAAAAATATGAACCGCATTTTGACTACTTTCACGACCAGGCAAATCTACAGCTCGGTGGTCATCGGATCGCCACTGTATTGATGTACTTGTCCAATGTCGAAAAGGGCGGAGAAACAATATTTCCCATGTGGAAGGTAAAGACACATTATGACTTCATGTTCCATTACTTTTCACCCAAAGATTTGTGTGGCCTCATTTCATTTTGATCACACATTCTTATAGGGTGCAACAACTCAACTGAAAGACGATAGCTGGAGCGAATGTGCAAAACAAGGTTATGCAGGTAGATACACTGTAAATTGTTTGATATATATACACATGTAGAATATATTGTATTCTTGATTATGCGTTTGGTTTAAATGTGGAGAAAGTGAAATTTAAAAGCTCTAACACAAATGGGACTGCAGTAGCATGATTCTATGTTATTGAAGGATACAACTATCTCTCCAATTGGTATCTTGCTATATCTGAATATCTCGCTTTGCAGTGAAACCAAGGAAAGGGGACGCACTACTTTTCTTCAATCTTCATCATAATGCAACAACAGATCCGAGCAGCTTACATGGAAGCTGTCCAGTGATTGAGGGAGAGAAATGGTCAGCAACAAGATGGATTCATGTTAGGTCATTCGACAAATCGTTTAATAGGAAAACTGGGTGTGTGGACGAGAACGAGCACTGCACAAAATGGGCAAAGGCAGGGGAATGCGAGAAGAATCCAACATACATGGTGGGGTCAGAAGCAGACCATGGATATTGCAGAAAGAGCTGCAAAGCTTGCTCATCTTAAAAACATCAAGTAAAACCAAAACTCTTATTTAAGGTTCAAAATTTTTGTATAGCGAAAACCGGTTTTTGCCATTTGAGGTAGAAAAACCTTTCGTCAATAGAAGGATTTAGAACATATACTAAAAATAAATATGATCCTATGTTACTCATCTTCTTGAATAAAAGTCAAGTTTATGTTATCATACACATCAAGCAAGCAATACATGATAACTGAATTATGTATTAATATACAATCAGTAGTATACATGAAATGATATAGTTGTTTAAACTACGTCATGCACTTCGAAACTCTCTATATTTCTAATGAAGTGTAACAATCATGCAATTACCGTTAATTAGGAGCCTCCAAGCATGAGATCCTCACCTTCTCTTTCTTTCTCTCTCTAGACATGTCTCAGAGTTTTTTGCATTGCATCACTCTATTTCTCCATAAAGCCTTTGTTGTAGTACTTTCAGACATTTCTCAGCTTCTTCATCATCTTCTCTCTTGTGTCTGAATACCAAAAGAAAATGGGAAGGCCTCCATGTTGTGACAAATCCAATGTCAAGAAAGGTCTCTGGACTGCAGAAGAAGACGCTAAGATCCTCGCTTACGTTGCAATCCACGGTGTAGGAAACTGGAGTTTGATCCCCAAAAAAGCAGGTCTTTTCATAAGTCTCTCCTATGTTTCAAGAGTCTCATCTTCTTATTTGGTTTCTGAGTTTTTTTTTTTCTTTCTTCGGTGCAGGTCTGAATCGATGCGGAAAAAGCTGTAGACTGAGGTGGACTAATTACTTAAGACCTGACCTTAAACATGACAGCTTCTCTCCCCAAGAAGAAGAGCTTATTATTCAGTGTCACAGAATCATTGGCAGCAGGTAAAGAAGAAACCTAATTGCTAACTAACTTTTTTTAACAATGACAAGAATGTAACAAACATGTTTTGAGTGAAACGTTTCATTGGTAATGATAATTATGTAAATCTCTGATGCTTTCAGGTGGTCTTCGATTGCGCGACAGCTTCCAGGAAGAACGGATAACGATGTGAAGAACCATTGGAACACGAAGCTGAAGAAGAGGCTGATGAAAATGGGGATAGATCCGGTGACTCATAAACCGGTTTCTCAGGTCCTTTCAGAATTCAGAAACATTAGTGGCCATGGAAATTCATCTGAAACTTTTGTGAGAAACTTCAAAACAGAACCATCTAACAACTCTATAGTCACACAAACCAACTCAGCCTGGGAAATGATCAGGAACACAACAAGCCATCATGAGAGTTATTACAACTCTCCTATGATCTTTACGAATCCGACTTCACCTGAATTCCAAACTACTCCATTCCATTTCTCTAGCAATTCAAATAATCTGCTCAATGGAACCACTTCTTCATGCTCATCTACATCATCTTCCGCTAGTATCACGCAGCCAAACCAAGGTGCTCAAGCACCTGTTCCTACATTCTGCTGGAGCGATTTCCTTCTCTCGGATCCGGTTTTACCTCTGAATTCTCAGACACAAGGAGTGGGATCCTCAGCTACTAGCAACCTCACTTTTGCGCAGAACGAAAACTTCAACAGCCAAGCCGAGTCCAGCTCTCAGAAGACCGCTTACAAGGCCTCGGGAACATCTCATTCTGCGAGTTCCTTTGTGGATGAAATACTTGATAAAGACCAAGAGATGCTGTCACAGTTTCCTCAACTCTTGAATGATTTCGATTACTAGATCCTTCTTTTTGTTATTGCTGTTTCTCTTGTACCTTAAATTCGACGGTTTTATGAATTTCAAGAACTATCTTTATCTAGTTATATTCAATAAGTTATCTCTTCTCTTTATGATCATATGAGTAACCAAGTTTGTTAGAATACAATGATTTTTCACTCGAACACACATCTCAAAGTAGACACCTTCTTGATAGAGGAAGAGAGATCCTCTGGCTTCAAAAGAGGGTTTCAACCTCCTACTATCCTTCGTTCGTATACTTTTTGGTTTTGCTACTGTAAGCTCGAAAGTCGAAACCTTTTGAGCTATGGCGGTCGTGTTATCATCTCCTATAGTCTCTCCACTAGGAATCAACATAGACATGAATAAGAATCTGGGTTTCTCGTATTCTTCTTTCCCCAAAATTCACGTCTTCAGGGTTTCTAGTCCACTGCGTATTCGAAAATCCGTCGCCACCGTCGTCTCGAGCCGTAAAAGTGTGAACTTTTGTTAAATCAGACATAGATTTCTTGTTACAGTCTTTTCTTAGTTCATGTCTTGTGGCTTGGAAATCAGATTCAGGCAGTGGTTTGGCAAGCGAGGATAGGAAATTGTTGCTGGAACGATATGGTTATGATGCAAATGAGTTTTCGTCTCAATCCAAGGTCGATTTCCCCATTCTATTTCCTTTGTTTTGGTTTCTGATAAATTCTTGAGACCTGGAAGTTTACTAGTGTTGGATCATTTGTGACACACATTGT